ATTTGCCACATATTGGCCTCATGCATCAAATGATCTAAATCTCCCTGTAAGTCTATATCTTCTTTGATACAGTTAGCCACCCCAAAAAGTTTGTCATTTGCAAACTTCAATATTTTGTTAGTCATTCCAGAGTCAGTATCATTAACATAAATCACAAACATCAGAGGACCCAGCACAGAGCCCTGAGGCACACCACTTGTAACTGTGATCCAGTCAGATCTAACTTCATTTATTATTAATCTCTGCTTTCTACTCTCCAGCCAATTTTCTATTTCTATACAATTTAATAACATTTCTCCCACACCCACAGATTTAAATTTTGTAACAAGTATTTTGTGAGGCATCTTATCAAACGCTTCCTGAAAATCAAGGTAAACAAAATCCACTGTATTTCTTTCATCAACTCTTGTAGTAACATCCTCAAAGAATGTAAGAAAATTTGTTAACTAAGATTTTCCCTTAGTGAAACCATGCTGGCTCTTTGACACTATATCAAACTGCTTTAAGTGACTCTGCAATGCATCTTTACCAACTACTGATGTAAGACTAACTGGCCTATAATTGCCTGAACAATGTTTATCACCTCCTTTAAATATTGGATTAACATTAGCCAACTTCCAATCTTCTAATACTCATCCACTACTCAATGGCGTATAAAAAATATTAGCTAGCAGTTCAGAAATAAAATATTTTAAGTTCCTTTAAAACTCTTGGATTAAAGTTGTCTGGTTCAGGGGATTTATCAATTTTTAGGTTTCTCAACTTTTCTCTTACAATTTCAGAACTTAAAATGATATCTTTTACATCAATATTTTCCACATACATTAAGTTCTCTGGTTGAGACATAATACTTGTGTCTTCCTTCGTAAAATATGCAGAGAATATGTAATTTGATTAGTCTCCCAACTCATAATCTTCTGAGATCAGCTCCCCACTATCATTTTTAAGAAGCCCAATCTCGATCCTGACATTTTGCTTAATCCATAACATACCCAAAGAACTCCTTATTGTTTGAATTAACTCTCTCAGCCAACCCTCTTTCACATACAGTTTTTGCCCTTTTAACTTCCTTTTTAACCAGCTCTCTTGATTTCCTATAGTTCTCCAAGTCCTTATTACTTCCAGCAAGTTTAAATTTCTTGAAGTTATTATATTTATCACCAATATGAACTCTTCAACCCTTACTAAACCATACTGGCTTATTCTGCTCTGTTGCCCTATTTTTTCTGCAGGGAACAATACCCCTGAAATTAAAATCTCCCATAAAAACAACATCTTTTTCAGCTACTATTCTGATCTCATTATACAATCTTTCATTAACTTCTATATTCTGACCTGGTGGTCTATAACAAATCCGAATTACAAGACTTTTCCCTTTATATCCACTAACATTAACTCAAACTGACTCAACCTCAGTGCTATTTTCTTTAATATGCTCTAACTCAACAGAATGCCATTCACTCCTCACATATCAAGCTACTCCTCCCCCTTTTTGCAATACCCTATCTCTAGCAAATAATCTGCAGCCTGGTATTTCAAAAAAAAATTTCTCATCAAAATTGCTCAAATCCAACCAAGTCTCAGTGATACCCATAATATCAAAATCCTAAGTTTCCGCAACTGGTTTGAACTCATCAATTTTATTTCTAATATTCCTAGCATTACAATAGTAACAATTAATCATAGATTTGAAAATACGTTTATGTTTTATGCCTGTTGTACATGTTTTCCTGTCAATTGTATTTCATATTTTACTAATATCATAGCCCTCACCTCTGTCTAGCCCTAGTTTAAATCTACCACTACAGCTGAGTTGATAGCCCTTGCTAACATGCTAGCTCCTGTCTTCTTTAAGTGTAAGCAATCCATTCCAAAAAGATTAACTTTCCCATTAAAATTATCCACATCATTAGTAGACTTATTAATAAAATATTGTTCAGTCATAAATTCTATGTCATACTTTAGAGGTTATGTTATAAGTGTTATAAATAAAAAAAAACAACAGATAAAGACAAACAGTTTATTGAGCAAAAAACAGATGTGAAAAAAAATTACAGTGACACAATACATCAAATTACAATTTCACATTTATGACATATCAGAATGTTGTAATAAAATGCAATACCTTTGTTTACTGTAATTACTTTCAGAATTCTTTCAATTCAATGAAAAAATTATATGGTGATAAATTAAGACAAAAATTTCTTTTTGAGAAATTATGAAGTTTGTATAAGCTCATGATTATGTGAAATCACAGCTTGTATTTTATGTTTTCAAGTCATTAAAAAATCATAATATGCAAATTCTTGAAGTTACATAATTATTTATTTAGTCGGTCTCACAAAACTGACAATCAACATAATGTTAAGGTTCAGCATTGAAATAAACATTTGTAAAAAATAATCAATACTCTCAAAATAGGGATGTGTTCTGGTTAAAATACAATCAGAAGAATAATATCTGCTAGACAAAATCAGTTTTTACATAAGTTTGAGTGTTGTGTTAGATGATTTTCACAATGAATTAATATATTTTAGAACTACTAAAATATCACTAACAAATGATTCCAGAAAATGTTCCAAACAAATACGCCACATGCATAAAGTGTCAAAATACTTATACTGCTTTTAAGAATTCAGTTGTTGTTTTACCATCTTAGGTCATATACTTTCTCATGTTTCTTTTCATGAGCTTTTATTATCAGCTTAAGTGTGTCTATATGAGAGGCAAGATTTAAAACCTCAGTTTCTTCAAAATATTCTGAGCATGATTTATGTCTTAGTATCATACTGACTGATGAATTCATAAACAAATATTTTAGACAATTATACAAGTTATGTGTAACTTTAAAATTTGGAGCATGTCAAGCTCTGAATTTTCCTCTGGGAAAAGTTCCTTATCTTGTAGTATTATTTTTTAATGAAGCAATAGAAGTTGGTACCAATCTGTTACTTCTGCTGCAATAAATTCTTCATATAAATGAAAGTACATTTCATAGTATTTTAACGGGCATAACCATAAGTTAAATTGTATTGAAACTGGATCTGGTGATATGATTTATTTGTGTAAATGTTTTTCTGAATGTTTCTCTTAATAAATTCATAAACATGAGCAAGATTATGTAAATCAAGTATATGATGCTGACTCATACGATTTCTTCATATAAGCTGCACTGTCAGTATCAAATATCATAACTTGTTTAAGCTATATAACACTGGAAGAAACCTCCACTACAACCACTGACATTGTGCTACATTTTCAGTGTCACAGAATACACTATCATACAAATAAGATGTAAATTTTGTTTTAACTGTTTACTACAATAGTTGCTACAAGAAAATTTAGAATACAACATCCATCCACATCAGGTATTTCATCATAAATGACAGCTATACCCTTGATTGCCAAAACCTCTTTTTTTTAGTTGATGTGGCTTTGAAGTGTACTGTAAAAATACTCGTAATACTGGATTTTCATCTGCTGACAGTGGTAGTTTTATCACTGAACAATCTTTTACCCATTCATGGCAAACCTAGAAATATTTATATTAAATTGAGTTATGAATAATTTATTATTATTTATTAATTTTAATTGGTGAGTAATGGAAAAAAATCTACATAATTCATTAACATACTTTTTTAGCTTAAACACAGATATATGCCTATATATTTTAGTCTAACATCAGCTAGTCCTAAATACACAATAATTTGATTTGAGCAATTATATAGCTTTGCATATCAGTAAAACATTTTTCTTATATAACAAACACAAAATCAAATGTTTGATAAAGACTGCTTGAAACTTTAAATCTCAATAATTTTCTGTTAGTACACATGTAATGGACATAGATCTAACTCAAGAAAAACTAGGCCTTGATACAGAAATAGGTCTAGACCTAAATATAAAATATAGATTGAACAAGTTTTTTTTAGTTATATCTATTTTCCTTTTCCTTTATTCTTCAAACCAAATGCAATAGGACAGATATTGACATACCTTTTACACTTTCTTCTGCAGTGACTGTTTTAGTGCTTATTGTTTTGAATGTTGAATGTAATGTCTTCTCCATTGTATTTGGCAACTTCATCTGTCTTTCAACTGCTCTGCAAGTGGGCTTCAACAGCAAAAATGTTACAATAACAGCAACACAACTTGCCCAAATCTTCATACATATTTTTTACGGTATACATATGTAAGATAAGCAGTAGTGGCACATTTTGTTTCATGTTTTTGCTGTTGTTTTTTTTTCTTTATTGTAAGGCACAGGTTTAAAATACATTTTGACCATAGATGGTGTTTTATAGCAATTAACAGTGCAATTGCCTACCATAATGATGACGTAACTGTGTACCTATGGCACTACAACAAACACGTGCACAACTTTAATTATGGTATGAATATAAAATACAAAGTAAATGAACAAAACTAGTTAAAAACAAAAAGTTAAAACACCTAAACCTAAAATATGCATGAAACTGGTAATTATTGAACTCACTGTTAAACATACAGTATAATGTGCAATATCACAGTGCTGAAGGAAGAACGGTACATGAATGCATAACATATAATAAGTTACTACAAAACGTTTATTAATGCCTTAATAGGATTTAAGTTCTGGCACCTTTTTTACAACCAGTAAAAGAAAAAAAATTAAATATTCTTTGCTACCACACTAATGTAAGTAGATGAGAAATTATCACAACAAAGGCATGTACTTACCGTATACAAAGTTTGTGTTTTTAAGTCTGGCTCCCTTCAATAACAAATGTACTGGCCCTAAAGAGCTAAACAAAAAAACACACACACACACAAGTAAAATAAGTAACTTTTTAAATTTATTTTACAAATAAGTAACTTTACTTCTATAAAACATTTGCCTTACATGAACTAGTGAGGAAAAATTTTATTTTTCAAAAGCAACATCATAAGTAAAAATCAATTAAGATCGCCATTACCATTTCTGGCACACTATGAACCAAACTAGTATTGTAAATATCACTTATATTTTTTGGCAAAAGTGAAAAAATGATTGGTTGAATGATGCTTCAAATGGTTCTAAGCATCAACAGTGCTACTGATGAACAATTTCCACATATCAAAAACTCACTCAGAGTACAACATCTAAAACCAGAACTTGGTTTAAACCAGTCCCTTCTTAACTTTTTCTAAACTAACATCTACTTATATTCTAACATCAGTAAGCCATTTTCATAACCACACAAACTAGCTGTTCTACAAAACATTGAAACATAAAAGAAATACACGGTTATTTGTTGTAACACATAATTTGTCACAGTCAAATCAAAAGGGAGACTAATTTTTAGAAACCATTCAGGACAGTTTTCTTTACCAACTGGTCAGGAAACCAACTAGGATCAATTCTATTTTAGGTTTGTTAGAAAAAATGGTCGAGATGTTGAGGTTGAGAAAAATCTTGGAACAAGTGATCTTTGTTAAATTAAGTTTGATGTTTTACTGCATATGGAAATCAGGAATAATGAGATTTTGGTTAGAAATGTCAAAAGAATCAAATTGTAAAAGGATGCAACAAGAATTATCTGTTGTGAATTGGGCAAGTGGAGATACTAATCAAATGTGGAAAATAGTTAAGAATACATTTTTACATATTCCAAATAGAAATGTTCCTCATGGAAAAAATGGTGGCTGCAAGTAAAAAATCCATGTTGGCTAACAAAGAGTATAAAGGATAAAGTGAAAGTAAAGTATTATAAATTTCAGAAGTTTAAACTGACTACGATGATAAAAGAGGATTAAAAAAGATCAAAAGAGTTGGTCAAATAGGATATTAGGAAATCAAAAAGGGGTATATGAATAAAAGGTTGGCTGAAAATGTAAAAATACATTAAGGGTAAGCAAAATGTTAGGAATGGGTAAATGATCTATGAGGGATGATACAGAAAGGCTCATATATGACGATTATGAGACGGCTGGGTTATTAAATTCTACTTTTTCTTCAATTTCTAATAATGAAAATTCAAGCAATATTCCTCATCCTAAATAGTTGCTAGATAAAAACAATACTGAACAAGATGATTACTTTCATTCTGAGCTTACTTAAAAAAAAAAAAGGAGGAGTTTAAAGAATTATAACACTCTTGGACCAGATAATATTTTCCATGGGATTTTGAAAGAGGTTGAGTATTGGAGATACTTACTTCTATTTTTTGTAAGTTCATGAATAGTGGGTTTGCAATCCCTACAAATTAAAAAACAACTCTCTTCCCTAATAAAAAACTTATACCCTCAAATTCAGCTTGGAATAATATACAGACCTAGCCTCCACATTAAACACTTATTTCAGTACAAAGATCAAGTACCTAAGCTTCTACATTCATGGCTTGTGTATAAATATACGTGTAGTGACTGTAAGGTCACATGCATTGGCAAAACAAAATGGCACTTAGAAACTAGAGTCTGTGAACATTTAGGAGTATCTAACAGAACCAACTGTCCACTACTTAAACCCATTTGTTCACATTCTGAAACCACAGGTCACAATATTTCATTTAATGATTTCTCAGTTACTCTCATTACCACAGGATCTTCAGACCTTTAACTCTACATTAAAGAATGTCTGCTCATAGCTAAAGACTACCGACTCTTAACAACTCACATTTGCTGCTTCTCTTAATAACTAAGTAAACCAGTGATTATGTTATCATATTATAATTTCAGTTATAATTATTTTTGTAACACAATTTTCAGTTTACGCTGAAGATAGAATAAGTTATTCCGAAATATTCAAATCTTGTAAATAAAATGCTTTATGTTTTATCAATCATCTACATCTTCATTATTAGACTTCGTTTTCCCCATCATGAATCCATTGATAGTGGGAAAGTTCCATAAGATTGGAAGTTGGCTAATGTTATTCCTCCTTTCAAAGAAGGTAATAAAATTGCTCCACTAATTAAAGGCCCATTACTCTTACATCAGTGATGGGAAAGGATTTTGAAAGTCTTATAAAAGATTCTTTGCAAAGTCATTTAATGAAAGTATAAAATTCTGTTGGGTAGCCAACATGGTTTCACTAGGGGAAAATATTGCTTTCATAACCTTTTCGAGGGCACGGGTGTGAATTTGGTATATCTGGATTTTCAGTAAACATTTGGCAAGGTGCCACATAAAAATTTTGTTAAAAAATTATATCTATAGGTGTGGGGGATAAGTTGGCTCACTGCATAGAAAAGTGGTCAATAAAGTATTTAAATTTGCTGATAATATTATAGTTTTCAGTGTTGCCAGCTGTGAGGATGCTGCTGCTGCTTTACAAGAGTATTTAGATAAGTTGGGTGATAAAATTGCATACAGCTTTTAATTATAATAAATGCAAGATAAAGCACATGGGTTATCATAATTTGAATTATAAGTATAAAATGGTGAGAATAATCTTAACAGTGTTAGTATGGAAAAAAGGATCTTGGTGTTCTAGTTGATCAATCTTTTAAACTATCCAAGCAATGTGTCATTGCTAGTAGTACAGCAAATAGGATTTTAGATTGTACCTAACACAAATATTGGATAAAAGTTTAAAGAGGTTATAATTTCATCGTATAGGTCATTGGTTAGAACCACATCTAGAGTAATGTTTTCAGTTGGGCTCCTTACCTTAGTAAGGTCACTGAATTGTTAAAGGATTTAGAGGAAGGCTACTACAATGATACCTGTGATGGAAAGGTTGTCATACAAGAACAAACTAAGATTTATAAAAAAATTTTCTCTTGAAAGAAATAAAGTATTAGAGAGGATCTGATTGAGATAGTTAAGAAGGTTAAGAGAAGTGACAGTGTTGATGCATCATCTTTTTTTCTTATTTGAAGGGTGAGAATAGTTGAACTTAGGGATAAAAGTATAAATTTTGGCAGAACCTGAGCTATTTTTACCCAAGACAATTTTATTTATTTAACAGGGTAGTGGACTAGCAGGTCCTTTGTTGTCCTTAAATTTTTTGTTTATGTTTATATTCCTTTTCTTTTTTTTTTCTACTATTTTTGCAGTCAAAGATTAAGATTACTTAACTTGGTATTCAAATAGATCATTTACCTTATTAAACAACCTAATCCTTCTGTTGAACTTAAAGCCAGCTATAAAAATAACTTATTGATAACTGATAATGTTAAAATTACTTGTTTTTAGCCTAACTATAGCTCAAGTTAAATTTAATCCTGAAACATCAATATTTTTAACTCATGCAAATAAAATTTATGTTAGGAAGAAGATAATCACATTATTTTACAACCTGAGCTACATCTGGATCAGGTTTGTAAGTGAATGTGAGTATGGTTTAAATGGAAAAGCTGGCAAAGCATTAGGCTTATAGCTGGATATGTTAAACTGCCTTTTATACAGCTTTGACATTAATAAACTACAGAATACTAATGACAAAACTCTATACTGCTAGTGAAAGAATGTTTAAGCCATAAATGTTGTATGTCAAAGATTGTACTCATTGTAGTTATAGCAGAACATAATAATCCACAATATATCTCCAAAAATGCTTTAAAAAATTGTGGAATATGAGTAATAGAATAACTGTTTTTTCTCATTTGTTAATAAAATAAAATATAATGAAAGTAATATATATGTTCAATTCCTTTTAACTACTTTACCATGTACTAATAAGGAAAACAAGTTTTAACACAGGGTTTTCATTACCTTCTGTTATTTTAGAGAACTTTTATGTCTTTCTGTAATCCCAAATAAAAAAAAATTATACAAATCAAAATCTAAACCTAACTTTCCTGACAATGGATTATGTTTAAATGTTACAATATATAATTTAGGGACAGCACCTTTCATATTTTCATATAAATGAATATTAAAGGTGTTGTTTAGTGTTACTCAGTTGTACCTGGCAGGTAAGGAACAACTGAATGAGTCTAAGTATTGGGTTATAGAAATCATGTAATACACCTATTTCTATACTACTTTTTCTGTTCATTTGTTTGTTGGAGTGTGTGAAAAGCTATACAAGAGGTATCTGAAGTAACTGATTGTAATTTTGAAGTAACAGGCTAGGGAGAAGCTATCCAACAACACCCATTACTAGTTCTTATTAAACCAAATAATGAGATTTGGTTGTCATTCTTATAATGTAACCATAGCATCAAAATATATGGAGATATTTTTGATGTTTTTTGTTGCTAATGGGACAGAACCATAGAACCTCAGCTCCACAGTCTGGCAACTAACTGCTGGGCCACAATCAGCCACTTTCTATTTACATACAAGATCCAAATTCAGTAACTACAATTATTATCACAAATCTTAAAATTAGCCGGATTATTTCATCAGGCCTGTCATCATGAAAAGGTAAACCACCAAGCTCTTTTCATAAAAAATACAAACATGTTGCATTTTCTGCTAAAATGCATCCTGAAATAGATAGCAATAAGTTTAAAATAAAGCAGATATAATAAGTAAAAGTTTAGAAAAATTATAGCCATGACATAAATTACTCTATAAACATTTCATTTTTTACATATCTAACAATTTTCATTCCACCAAAAACACTCAGCAGAAACAATATTTAGAAAAACTCACCCAATACTAGTTTCTTGTATATTTTTGTAGCATGTCATTCTTCCAATAAATGTATAAAGGTTTGCTGTTGGTTCTTCACACTCAATGGAAGCACAAAAGCTGCTGAAACTCTCTGCTGTCTGGTAATCTCGAGTTTCTGGAAGGCACTCATGAACCTAGATTGAAAAAAAACAAAAAATTCCTACAACAGTTAAAAACCTAAATCCATTAGATATCATGCAATCATTACACAATCTATAGAAATATATTTAATAAATTTTAGAAAAAATGTCATGCAACAAGAAAAACAGATTTCATCAATCAAAAAATAATGCCATGTTAGCAGAAAGTTACTCTACTAAAGTTCTGTTTTGAAAAAATCAAATATTTATTTAAAATAAATTACTTCTTCATATCTATAGATCATTTGATTTTTAGAATACAGCATCACTAAGGTTCTTCCATTTTAGGACATACTTCAAATTATGAATACCAACAGCATGAAGCAAAAATTAACACTAGCCTTTTCAACTAACAAAACCTTGATTCTTCACAAGTAAGTTTAACCATAAAATGAGCTTCTCACAATTTTTTCACTTATTAATTAGGATGGAATGACAAAGTTACTTGTGTGAAAGATTAACACACATCACTGGCTGCTCGATGTTTATAAACTTTAGATTGTGACACTCATGAATACTCCTTACACATCAATGTAACATTAACATTCTGGTAATTAGACATGTAAGTTAGGTCAGCACTAAGAAATGTATGTGCACCCAGAAAAAGAAAAAATTACCAAATTACAAATGCAGTTGAATACAAATATAATTAAGTTAAATAACAATAGATGTTATTACACTACAGTACATACCCATACTTCAAACAAGATTTTAATAGAATAAAACAGAGAACACATTTCCTTTGATTACAAGAACCCCTTTCTGATCAATCGGTAAATTGTTAAGTTTAAAAACAGTATATATTAAGTGTACCTTTTTACTTTATGCTTCCCACCTTTATGTTGAAGCAATTTTCTCTATTTTCAATCATTCTATGTTTCTTTGTTTACATAAACATCTATGGAAAATAAAACCTTACAAGTGACAGAAAAATAGTTTAACAACCACATTTACTTTGAGATTGGTTTCTCCATCAAGGTTAGCTGTTGTGATGTAACAAACTCCCTCTGTATTGCTAGAAGATAGCATTACAAGATCACAAGGAAACTCCTCATCAGATTTCACCTTAACAATATCTCCTACCTAATTAAAGACACATATTCATTTGAATACATCATGAAAATGTCACTACAAAGTCAAACGAAAAATTGCTGTTCTGATTTGAATGAATTTTGATACTTTTTATCAATACAAAATGAAAGCCACCAAAAATCAAATTATGCCTAGAATGGTATTCATGTTAAAATGTTATTTTCATGGTTACATATATAGTTCGACTTTACCAAAATATTTATAAATTTAAATGAAAGGCCCATTTTGCTTTTTGAGCATCTCCTTTTGCTCGCTTTGGTCATATTGTCATGTTACTTGTAAATTTCTGATTCACTGTAAACAGTATTTGATTTTTAGATTTTACAGTTATAACATAAACACAGCTAAAAGGAATTATTATTGTAAGTAACATGTTAGCAGGTAACATTTTTACTAATGTGTGTCTGTTCTTTAAAACTGAAATTGACATCAATTTTAACATACTGTAAGAGTACAGTTATAGTTCACACACAATTTCAACATACTGTAAGACTACATTTACAGTTTACACACACAATTTTAACATGCTGTAAAGGTACATTTAAAGTATAAACACACAGTATCAATATGCTGTAGGGGCATGTTAATAGTTTTCCTCACAGTTTCTTTATAGTTTACACACACAATTTGAATATGCTGTAGAAGTATGTTAATAGTTTACTCCATAACTTTAATATGCTGCAAAAGTGTGTTTTTAGTTTACACACACAATTTCAACCTGATATAAGGGTAAGTTTATAGCTTACACACACAATTTGAATATGCTGTAGAAGTATGTTAATAGTTTACTCCATAACTTTAATATGCTGCAAAAGTGTGTTTTTAGTTTACACACACAATTTCAACCTGCTATAAGGGTAAGTTTATAGCTTACACACACAATTTCAACCTGCTATAAGGGTAAGTTTATAGCTTACACACACAATTTCAACCTGCTATAAGGGTAAGTTTATAGTTTACATACACAATATGAACATGCTGTAGGAATATGTTTATAGTTTATGCAGACAATTTCAGTATGTTGTAGTACTTTAGGAGCATGTTTTTAGTTTACACCAACAACTTCATCATGCTATAGGACCATGTTTATAGGTTACAAACACTAGTTTAGTTCTTTGCTTTGTTACTTCATACAGTGCCATCTTAAAGCATGTGCTGTAGCCCAGGCCCCCCCCCCCCATCCAAAATATAATTAATTCAAGTGATGTGCTAAACTGTGTTTGTTTCCACTGTCCGAGCCAAATTCTCAGGAAGATGATTAATTTCTGCATTTTGTATTTATACTGAGATATAAGCTATCGTTTTGTAGATTTCTATTATACCCAATAAAACCTCATGTTTTTACATCTTAACCACTGCTGAAATTGCATATTTTTTAATGTTTCTGTAACCTGACTTAGGTAATATCAGTTAGCAGCCACACATTTGCCATTTTCTCCACTCTTTTATAATATTCATTTCATTCCATATTCATTTTTTGCTTGTAAAATTTTATCTTTTATGAAATATAATTATTTCTGTGGTTACCCCAGTATATTGTTAGAATGAATAAGTGGTCCTATCATATTGTTACTGAAAAATGAAAATAAGCATTGAAAAAAAACCATCTAAATTACCAAACTAGCAGAAATGTCACCCTCCTTCACACAAATTTAGAAAAAGTGAACATTTTTCTAAAAAAGAATTTTTATGGGAAGTACTGCATGGGAAAAGTGTTCAGATTGTGCTGATATAAACTGTTATGTTTTATATATTAAAAGTGGTACCATTTATTGAAAAAATAAGTTTTTTTGAGAACTCCATTTTTTTCGTACTATATTTACAAATTACATCAATAAAGATGTAATCAAACCCTCATGTACAGTCATGTTGTGAGGAGAGTACTTTTATTTAAAACTGTGTTCTGTGATAAAGAAATAGTTGTTGTATATACCATAGTTACTTTCCTAATTGTCTAAATCTTGAATACCCAAAGTGTATTTTTATGGATTTTTCTTTGTGGTGCCATTCAATAGATAGTGCCACACTGTATTTATTATTTTGGTCACATACATAGATAGATACATATGAACATGCTATGTCCATTATAGTAGGATTGACTTCATTTCTTCAAGTGCAAAATATTGTACAATCAGTCCTGCCATCATCTGCATCTGTGGGCTCAACAAGTTTTATCCCCAGTGAAAAAGATAATGATGACAACATTACTGCTTCATTATCTGTTGAAGGTGCAGATCATTATCAACACAAGGTAATGTCAGAAGCACCACAGTTGACAACAAGAGCTTCTACTAAAACAAATCCATTAATTCATCTTGCATTATGGCATCCTATTAGTAATGAACTACATTTTTTTTTGGTTAGTAATGGTCCTTCATCATGCCAGAATTATGATTGTGATTTCAAGAATTCCAAATGAATTTACAAAGCCCACAAAAGGTATTTGTCACATTCTTCTTTTAAACACGAATTGCATAATGGCAAATTTGTTCATCAATAATTGTTATTATATTCACTGTCAACTAGTTCAGTCTACTGTTTTGTGTGCAGCTATTTTCTAGCACAAATTCAACTTTTTCTACAACAACAACAGGTTTTGATGATTGGAAGCATGCAGACAGTCGAATTTCTGAACATGAAAGCGGCCCTGAACATCGAAAGTGTAAGCTTATTTACTGCAATCATTAAAAGAAAAGAAACTTGGACAAATGTACTCAGTATTATTGAAACAGCTCAACAAAGAGTGACAAAAGAGTTACTGCTGTTATGAAATTCTTGGCAACAAGAGGTTTGGCATTTCGTGGAAGTAATGAAACCACAGGTTCACAGCACAATGGCAATTATTTTGGAGCATTAAAGTTGCTGAGCAATTTTGGTCCATTCCTCAAAGAGCACATCAAAAAACATGGAAATGCTGGTAAGGGAAATTTAAATGACAGCTATGATCAGATTCAGACAACTCTTGATTCCTTGATCAATGATACTACTCAAACAAGAGACAATACACGTGAAGCTGAAAATCTCAATAAGAAAATGAACAAGTTTGAGGTAGTTTTCTTGACAATTTTATGGAAAGATATTTTTACCCATTTTAATAAAACAAGTAAAATTCTGCAAAAAAAGGATTTAAACTTATCTGTTGCTGTCCATATTCTTCAGTCATTATTACCATTTGAAGAATGAGTGCAAAGCAAAAACAAAATGTGCCAATTGTGACTACAGTGACATTAGTAAACATCAATTCTTTTGAAAAACCTGCTAGTGACACCAGTCTTCAAGGTAGTCTTAAATTCAAGATTGAAACATACTTACCAACCACTGACTCACTGACTTCAAATTTAGAAAAAAGAAATGAAGCACATAAATAAATCAAAAATGATTTTGGATTCTTCCAGAAACTTAATGATCTGGGCTCTCCTGAATCTACTGAGAATTGTGAAAAGCTTGCCTTAATTTATAACATATATTTGGAGAAACAAGAAATTATATCTGAGTACCAGCAATTCAAGCATTACATATCAAAGGAAGAAGTTAAATAATCTTCCAGTATTTATGCAACATTAAAGCGGAACAAACTGGAAGCAACATTCCCTAACATTGAAATTGCTTTAGTTCTATTCCTATCAATGATGGTCATAAATGCAAAGGTGAAAGATATTTTTCAAAGATGAAAGTTATTAAGAATGAGCTCTGCATATGCATGTTTCAACCAAGATTGAATGCTCTCTCCTTAATGTCAATCGAATCAGATATGCTTCATGAACTTGATTTTGATTATATTATTTGTGACTTTGCAAATAAAAAAACAAGAAAGAGACACGTATAAAACTGTAGATAAATGTTTGTCTTCATACTTTGTGGTAGCTAATATATGCAGACACTCAATAAAAACTTTTGAATGTTCAATAAAAATATTGTGATGTTCGTATTTGTATTTTTTAAGTGTGACCTTTGTGCACGTGGCCCCAATTCACACTTTGCCCAGGGCCCTCAATATCCTTAGGACAGCATTGACTTCATACATTTACATGCAAAATCTTATTTACTGTGTTTGTGCAAGCTTAAACATTACCCACAGTCAAGAAACAGAAAAGAAATTTTATGCATATGTAGCACAAACACCAATAATATCTTAGTAAAAATAAGAGAACTTCCTACAACAATTACACACATATACATATAACATTTAATGTAGTTACCTTGATGTCTTGAGACCTAGTCCTGGTTATTTTTCCATTTCTGATAACTCGAACATGCATGTGATTCACTATACGATCAGCTTTGTGTCTCAACCAATCTTCATAACCTTGTTTAACAGCAGTAATAGTAACCACAAATATGAGTGGAGCTAGACTGGTAAGTGGGCTGACAGGACTATTTATACTTAGCTGTAAAAGAAACAAAAGGTAAATTATTAGAATTTAGTTGGAAACAGACTAAGCAGAGATACACACTTTAATGTAGAAGTGGTATCTTCTATATGGTTAAATACTTGGCAGATATAACTATACCTAGTGAGTCAAACACTGCCCTCTTCAACAAATTGTATATTTTTTAAATCACTACGCCCATTTACTTTAAAAAGTATGAGTGTGAAGTCTGTAAAGACACTTCATTAAAATGACTTTAGCATTTTAGAACATAAAGAACATCCAAGTGACAACCTGCTCACTCAATGTCTAAACAAGAAATACCAACCACTTAAACAACGTAACATTTTGCACCCACTTATGCACACCTATCCAGGAAATAATAAAAAAAAAACAGCACACACCAAATAATTTGACAAAGAACAAATTTGGCTCAATTTTCTCAAGACTCTTTATTCCTAAAATTGGAATTATCATTACCAATTCTGAATATCTAAAAGTAAATGGAAGGGAAGAAAGAGATTTTGCAATCACCTCACAAACTTAAATAGCAGAACTGAATCACTTTTAGTTTTATTCTATAACAAAATAAGTACAACTGTATTAAATTCATTTTATACTCCAAAAAAATGAAATAAAGTGTCATTTCTTGTGGTTCTGTACATTTTTTCCAAAAGACCAGTATTGTTTTAAAAATAAAACCCAAACTAAAAATAATTCTCCAAATGAGATAAAATTAGTCTTACAAAAAGTAACAGCAACATTCTTAATATTCCTATCAATAAAAATAACTAATTTTAAGAGGCAAGAGTGAAAGACAGAATATTTATGCTATACTACCAAATATTCTAACACTACAATATTAAAAACAACACACACATGTGTATACATATAAATATAAATTTTATGGAGCTTTATGTCTGTTTTTTTAGTAATTTAAAACTGTATTTTAACTTTTATTTCAACTTCTATTAACTCTCTCTCCATGGGTATCTTTTTCTGAGCATGTCACAAGGTTTTAGTCAGTTACATTCAAAATTTAAATAAAACTACTTTCATTTCATGGCATACCAATAAGTATAGAATAGAAATATAGCTAATAATCCATATTTTAATAGTATATAAGTTGTAAGTTTGTCATTTTATAAGGCAATATTAAAAAAAAAACCTTAATTTCCCATCTCTAGGCATCCCCTCTTCTCTAATTTATTTACCAACACTCCAAGAAGTATAAAATTTAACATAAATTACTTAATGCTGTCATCACTCAGGTAAAGCATAATTGTTATAGCCTTCAATCTTATTTGCTTAAAGAGCTATGAAATAGACAATTAGACCCTTCTTCCCATGCCCACCTGTCACATCCTCTTCTTCAGAAATTGCCAACAGTTCGCACTGACACTCAATAGTACATAATGTATAACCAACAGAAAGCCAAGGTTTTACTCTTTCAAATTACTTATTATATTGCATTGTTTTTTGTACATATAATTGTCAATTTTGCTTTCAGTTCAAGCTTTATTCCCAAGTGAAACACATCAAGAAGTTTAGATGAGTTTTTAAGTTATCTTGTCACATAGTTTGAAAGCTAGAAAAATTGTGATAATTATGGGACATTGTCTGCTTTTTACATATTATTATTCTGTGTTCTTTGGTGCTTCATTTAATTAAATAAAAATTATTTAGTGCAGTACTATCATTAATATAAAAAGTAGGGTTAAGTGTCATTGACAGCTGACAGCAACAAAAAAGAAGACCCATATAAGTACTTTATTTCTTGTTTTTCATGTATAATCTTTATTTATTTATTTATTATAAATGTAATTAAAATGTAAAAACAGGAAACCTATTAGGTTAGATTGTGTAAAATAAATAATAAAAATAACAGTGTAATAAAAAATGTTCACAAGATACACTCACGAGTAATGCAATTTGTTAGCATTATGTGAGCTGTATGCAGATAAAACAATAAAATTTAAATATAAATAAATGTATATTATTACGAGTTTAAAGCTATTTAACATAAGCAAATGTAGTTTCACATTGCAAGTTGAAGCCATTCTAAAAAGAAAAAAATGGATCATTTAGATATATTTAAATTTTGTTTTGGTGGTTACAAGGTTGGTCAATTTGACCAACCTTATATAGAGTTAGGGTAGAGAAAATAACAGATAAAATAGAAAATTTTACTAAAAACAGTTTGAAATTTTCTTAGGTGGTTTTAGAGATTACATAAATGAAAACTGAGATTTTTGAGACAAAGAAAAGCATTTTTAATCTTAATGAGGAAATCACTTTGCACCCAGGCTAGTAAAAAAAGGCTATATATATCCCTGGACAAATCTTTAGCACAAATACTTTATTAAAAAATCAGATTTTTCGTGTACAAAAGAGTTGTAATGTTTACTAAATGTTTGCCAAAGAAGATACAAATACTGTGTTGAAAGTTACTGTATGGAAACTATAACAAGTACGAAATGGTTACAAGGTCGATCGATGCAACCGACCTCATAGCTGGAGAGTTAAAACATAATAAATGACCTTCAAATCATGAAAGTGTATATCTCATCATTACAGTACAGATGTATATAAGTGGACAGACATATATATATATAGATAGATACACTTATATTACACAAAAAATGTTAATTCACTTACTTGAATAACTGCAATACACAGGAAATAGAAGTTAGCTATTCTTCGAAACTGCTCATAAAGATTCTTTGGAATGAAGTTCCATATTGTGTACTTAAAAAGTAAAAAAAATCAAATCAATTAAGATTGATAATTACAACCAAAAACAAGTAAATGTCAACTATTAAAAATTTTTTGTAATAAGTTCTAGGGGTAATAAATTTCTTTACAAATATAATAACAAATTTCATGTTTTCCAAATGAAGTTTGCTAATAATAACAATTCAAATAAATAGCTTGTGAACTCATAATAAGTAAGTTTTCTTTATAAGTATTGATATGACATATAATCTTAATATATTATCCTTACTCATAAGATGTACATATTATTTACAAATTGTGCATATTCTTCAACACACACATATATCAAAACATAACATTTTTCTTCCACATTGCTTTTGTTTACTTCACTTTTTTTTTATTTAATTTCAGTTACAATTTTAGCATTCATCTTCTTTGTACTGAAGATTTGTCAATTAAATAAAACAACATGTAAAAGGACATCTTGATCTGACACACAGCTTTTAACATGAAAACAATACTCTTACATGTATGCATATTACCCACATCATAAGTTTATATCAATATCTGCATCATAAGCTTACATCAATAACCGAGTTCATCAGTGTTTGACACAGACTATATATAAATCTCTAAAACTTTGAACAGTTTACAAACTAAAAAGATATTCCAATATGTTTCGAGGTGTAGAACCAACTTAGCATTTCCAGACCTGAATAATTCACTATGGTAGTATAGCATAGAATATGATAACCTTTCACTGCAATAAAAATTATATATACTGCAAGTTATTTTTTGTTGTTCCTTATAAAGGTGATCAATTAAAACCACAAGCAGCAAATGTTAAAAACTAAAAGCATAATGAATCAGGAAAATTTGACTCTGTTGAAATAGGCTAGGTGCCACACTGCCAATTATAATTTCAGCAACATAGCTGGGATATGTTACCTGTTAAGTGCATAGGTATTTAGTTTCTCCTAATAATATATTTGGCATTAACTTTAAATGAGTCATTTAATTTGCAATGTGTCTTTGTAACAGCTCCTTGAACTCATGACTCCATCTTTTAATTAATGAGACTATTATAAGTGACTTCTTATATTTTTGATGGACTGAAAGAAATAATACAAGTTGTCTTTCCAAATGGATCCATTTGTGTCTAATTTAGAAAAAACAAAACAAATGTTTCCCTAAAAATTGCATAATTTTGAAAAACATTTTTAAGGTTCTATAAGAAACAATCTAAATTATATCCTGAGTTTTGTTCAAAGTCTACAAATGCAGAAAATATTACATAAGAAATTAAATACATATGTCAAAATACAAATGTTATTCTGTGACAGGTCTTCAAATAATACCTTTGAAGTAACTATGGTATTATCAGGAAATCTTTCTTCAACTTCAACTTCATCTTCACTGCCAGGTGGGTGCTTGTGTCCAACATAAACTAATCTAGACTGAGAGAAAGATTTTCGACTCGAGGCTTTCTGGAGTGAGAGAAAAATAAGCTTTAAAATATCTACTAATTATCCCCAGTCAATGCAAGATAAGTAAAATTAAAGAAATATTCAAAACTTACTATTCTAAGCTGTGACTTGTATGATCTACAAAATAAAAACAATATACATATATATATTAGGTTCTTTGTTTCCAATTTCTTTGTAAATATAATATCACTAAGAATAAAAGGCTTATTCCCTTTGTCACTCTGTCGAGAATGCTTTCACACTTCCTTTTTGGTAATGCTCAACAACATACATCGTTGCTTAGAAACAAAACTATCACATGATTGTTATTAGGTCAACTATGGTGCTTATGAATGTTTTTTTAATCTTTATTTTTTTATAACTTTGATGACATAACAGTAAAATAGCTTAATTCAGAAGTTTTAAGACACTGAGTTCTAGCCAAAAGCAAAATAAAATTTACCAAGTGGTGTTTCAGTTAATGAAATCAAATTAGAAAATGAAACCATTGAGAGAGTGAACAATTATAAATACCTTGGACAAACAACCTACTTGAAAATTACAACAAAAGAGGAAATAAGTATTAGAATAAGAGCTGCTTTGGAAAGTACCGAGAGATCTTTCATGATGCTAAACTACCAATAACCCTTAAAACAAGAGTATTCAACCAACATTTCCCAACCTTGACATATGGATGTCAAACTTGGACACTCATAAACAGCTTAACTTAAGATTGCAGACAACACCAAGAGCAATGGAAAGAAAGATGCTAAAGATCAAGCTCCAGGATAAACTTCTGTGCCCAGAGATCAGAAAAAATACCGGGGTAAGAGCCATCTGCAAGTATATTGCAGAATCAAAATGGAAATGGGCCGGATATATCGCTCATTTAAAAATTGGATGGATGAAAAGAACTGCTTAATGGCAGCCCCACAGAGGGAAGAGAACAAGACGTAGACCAGACAAAAGATGGCACAATGACATCTTAGAGAAAGAGGGCATCACATGGCCGAGGAAAGCGGTAGATACACAGACTTGGATGTCTATGGCGGAGGGCTACACCTTTCAGTGGGCAAACACAGCCTAGAATGATGAATGAATGATGCTGTTTCAGCTAAGCCTTACGTTGTATTTATGTATTAAATTATACTACAAATAGACCTACTATTACTACATTATAAAGTTAGTGTTTAAAAAGTTTTAAGTGGTGAATATATGTTAATTAATAAATATTCTTTTGGTATTTTAACACATATTATCTACTTGGCCTTGAAACATAAAGAAAAATAAACATTTATTACTACCAAATATCTTTTATCCTTTGTACAGTTGAAAGAGTTGAAAAGTTGTTTCGGAATGTCTGCACTATGTCCTGACCTGTAACACACTTAAAAGGCTCAAGAGTGCTATTTAAATCTCTTTTGGAGTGCACACATATTTTTGTTCATGACAACATTTCATTTTTTGGCATATTTTTGACTAATTATGTGGTGATTAATGAATTAATTCATGGGATTAATAATGGGATACAAATGTGGGATGAGCAGTCCACATGCTGGCCTGGATGATCTACAAAGGATGATGAAAATGAACAGCCAAGGAAGTTGTGAGGTGCTGGATCTGATGTGAAGAGATACAAAAAAGGTGACAGGAAAAAGGTCAGGGGAAACAGAAGGATTCCAATGAATAAACAATCTGGAATGAGAGCTACAGAAGGGAACCATGCAAGTCACATAACACCATTAAGCCCTGAATGGACACAGCAGGCAATCCAGATCAAAAAAGGAATAGATAGAGGAAATCAAAGGCAAGGAAGTAGGGATAAAGGTGACATTACTCTCACAAGCAGCAGACAATCTTAAGGAGAAAGGAACGGTCAGAAAAACGAACACATAGGTGCTGCAATAAAGGATGCAAGAGACATCAAGGGCAAACATATCCGATCTTCGATATCCACAGGCTAATAGGAGGAGAAAATAGGTTTTCAACAGGAAGTCAATGGTTCAAAAGGAGGAAGGGATAGGGCATGAAGAACAACATTAAGATCCCAATCCGATAAAGATGTATGGTGAGGAGGACAATGGAAATGAAAGGACCAAAACAAATGTGAAATAATAAGAGAAGTAAAAAACACGATGCAAATGGGAAAAACGAAGGGTAGAGGATAATGCCGCTCTATAACCAGCAATGGTTGAAACAGACAGACCATTGTTGAAGAGCTGGGTTAAAAAAATGTGGAGAGGTGAGAGATGGAAGGTGAAGAAGGGATGAACCCACAACAGAGAGACAAGTGGTGAAAAAATACGTTATTTAAGCTAGTATACTGAGATGGAAGAGGGGACAGACCAAGTGAGAAAGAAGGGGATGCTACTCAGGTGGAAAGTCTGGTACCTCATGCAAGGGACTGGACAATAGCCATATGTGAAACCAGAGTGTGAGAATGGACAGATGAAGCACTACCAAATGAGGTTAACAGAAGAGAGATGGGAAGAGAGGAAGAGGTAACAGTGGTGACACCTGGAGAGGTAGAAGTAATGGGAGCCACAGATGAGTATGCCAGAACAGATCCACAAGAAGAACTCAAAACAGAGTGGTTTGGATAACTGAAAGGGAAGAAGACAGGTGGGGGATAGGCATAAATGCAAAGTTCCTTCCAATCCCGACTTAGACCATCTATCACCAAAGCCAAAGGACGTGCAACAGCCGACCAAAACAGAGGAAGTTTGACATTCAAGGGAATGGCAAAAGCATCCAGCTGGGCTTGCCAAACTGAGAGCATAGCCACCTAATTATCTATGGGTCTAGGGACCACTCCATAGGGAGAATCTTGTCAGAATTGGACAAATGATCCATGACAACATTGAGAACAATCAAGATATGACAAGACAGCAAACAAATGTGATGGCTGCAAGCCCAGAACAGTAGGTCCAAAGTGTGAAAATACAGGTACAGGAAGAAATTGCTCCCTTGCTGGGTGATATAAGAGACAACAGTAGAGTTGTTGGAATGGATGGTTACCATTGTACCTTTCATAGCTGGCAGAAAATGATCCATTGCCTGGCAAACATTGAGGAGCTCCAGAAGACTGATATGGAGATTTGACTCGACTAAAGAACAACAGCCCAGAATGGCTTAGACATTGCAATATACCCCCCCCACACACACACACACACATCCCGGCAGAGGCATCTGTAAAAAGGAGTACATCCAGTCATGGAGAAGGACACCAGTCATGATTTTGTCCCTGTTCAACCCCCAGGCAAAATCAGCTTGAAGGGTTATCAGGTAATCCAGAAGATTCATGGTAAGTTTCCACTGATTGTGAAGAACCCATTCAAAAGACCACATGTGAGCATGGTTAAGGGAAATATGGGCCTCTAAGGAAGCCCAAATCCCCAAAAGAGAAAAAACCTCCCGCACAGGGAGGAAATGTGAAGACAGTGCCTTCTGAAACAGAAGCTTCATTGAATGCAGTTGAAGGGGAGAAGGTTGGGCTCAACTGAGACAGGAATTGAAGCACACCCCAAGATGAAGAACGCATTGTGTTGGGGTGAGAACTAATTACTCCACCTTAACTAGCCATCCCAAACAGATTCCCTGAGGACATGTGTGTGGGTGGAAGAATTTAAAAATGATGGAACTAGAAGGAGATAGTCATCCATGTACTGGTGGAAACAAAGCCCATGTGAATGGAGAAAAGGCAAAGGACTTGCCCACTCAACAAAAAATATAGGGCTTAAGTGAGCCCAAATGGAAAGAGTTCAGAACTGATATACACATTTTTCGTAGACAAAGCAAAGATAATAATGGGATGATAAGGCAATGGGGATGTAAAAGTAAGCATAGGACAAGTCAATATTCGTCATCCAAAGACCAGGATCAAAGAGACAGGTTGGACTCTATAATGAACTGAATAACCTCCATATAATGATTCAAGCTGGAGAGGTCAATAACAGGACTCCAATCCCTGGGTTTTTTTTGGGAACTACAAAGAGACAAGAATAGAAATATGGTAGAACAGGAAGTACTACTTCTATAGAGCCCTTGAGGAGAAGTTCCTGAACTGTCAAGGCATAGAAAGATGCTGTTGGAGACTGGATCCTGATGGAAAGGGAAGGAAATGGGAAAAGGCAATAAGGGAGGATGGGAGAGGAAGTGAATGGTGAGTCTGTCCGATAAGACCCAAAGAACCCAAGTATCTATGTAAACATTCCCATATCCTTGTAAAACAAAGCAATCTGGCCCCAAAGGGAACTGACTCCATGGGACAGTGACCAATAGCATGTCATGACAAAGCAACCCATCAGAAGGAAACATGCAAGGGAGAGGAAGGAGGGGGACTAGATACAGGGACTAGAGCTGGGAAGGGTTGAGACAAATATGTGGATAGCAATTTATGTAAACATGTAGATTTCACTCTGGACTAGAATGAGTTGGGAAGATTACCAAGAACTGTTTATCACAGAAATGTAGCCATGCACAGGTCATACAAAAAAATAGTGGAAATATACACAGGAGTGAATAGAACATCCCTATCCAAAAAGTCCTAACAACAAAGGAACCATGCTTTGAGATAAAGGAGGGAAGAGAATAGGCATAACAATGTGGAGAGAAGGAGGATATAAGCATCTGCCAAAAACCCCCAGGGGAATGACAGAAAGCCTCAGATAAAAGGTGAATAAAAAAAAGGGTAACGTAGGAAAGTGTTTAGGGTTAGCCAAAGAACTGTGTCTGAGTAAAGTGGATAGAGGTATTGGGGTCCGATCCAGAACGGGGAGGAGCGAATCCGACTGTTGATTGTCATGAAAGTCATTCTTTGAACGACGGTCCACCACCCCAGCATCTAGAAACTGGTAAGTGGCAAGGGTCTCTCATGCTTCACTTAAAGAAGAGGAGTGGGGAGAATTCATGTTGGGGAAGTCCAGAGAAGTGCTTGGATCTCAATCAAATCATCAGCTGGAAACGTCTTTTACTGGAGACAGTGCATCGGTTGATCACAAAGCAAGCAAATGTGATCCAAA